GATTCATTCAAAATGAACGAATCGTTTAAGAACGACCCAACACTACACGTGATTACTTTTACGCCAATGAAATCATACTAGGAAGCGCTGCAGATGGATCAAATCGGCGATAAAATCATATAGATATTATTAAATTATCTAGCCGGTCAGAGGTATTCGTTGCGACCCTAACTAGTTGTTATTGACAAACTGTGTTTGTTAGCATAGTGTTCTTATTTATAATTTGACCTCCAGCGCCGCGTTGACATTTCTATCTTGAACTCATTGCAATATGCAAGAACACTTCTACTATTAGCATAAAAATTGTGACCATTTTGTTGAACCAATTTAATACTGTTATATAGACATATCTCTATAGATCTAACGTTTGAAAATGAAGATTGCGGAAGAGGCTTGTTGTGTTGTCACAGTGTCCGAGAAGCCGCTCAACCTCACGTCTGGATCTCCGAATAAAGAATTGAGCTGTAGTGGAGTGTTTCTGAATTACCAGTCTGGGATTATAGTCTGTAGTGGCATTCTGTTTTCACGCTCTATCAGTGATAGACAGTCCATGAAGAAAGACGCGAAAATATTGCATTCTGAAAGTTTCACTAAAGAGCTAAAAGTGCATGTAGATTACATTCACCTTTGCGCCAACCAGTCGTGTGTGACGGACAGACGCAATACGAGCCGCCAAGAGGCTCATCTGTTAATGATGATCAATTGTGTGGAGTTTCAAGATGCATTTAACAAAATCTTCAAGGGGGCTGATAACTGGGGCTTTTATAGTGGTACTTTGGATGCAGAAGTTCTGGAAGACTCCAGATTTTTAAGTTGGTTTGCACTTTTAAAAGTGCCCACTTCATCCACATGCACCTGCAAGGAAACTATTCCATGGGTGAAGAGTGGCAGTCTTGAAAAGGGATGTCATGTCATCGCATGTGGGTCTCCATTCGGTGGTCTCTGTCCAGACCTCTTCATGAACACAATTAGTAAAGGTATAGTTAGTAATCTGGCAGGAGCTGAGAATGCCCTGATCCTGACTGATGCCCGCTGCTTGCCTGGCACCGAAGGAGGCGGTGTGTTTGTTAGCAAAGGAGGCAGATCTTACCTTGTGGGTTTGATTGTTTCACCACTGTGCTGGAAATCAGATGAATGGATTGGGCTGACACTTGTGTGCTCTGTTCACCTGATTTTGAAAAACATGCTACAGGCTGGTGCCATCCAGGAGCCGCTGATAGAAGAGTCATCACAGTTAATCACTGGCTCTCTTCAAGCTCCATTAACTGCAAACCGAAGGACAGGCTCTGAATTTTACACTGGAGTTGCCCTGATTGAGACCGGCCAGCTGTGGGGTTCTGGTGTGCTGCTAAACCAGAATCTGGTTCTGACCTGCAGGCATGTGGTGAATGAAAAATCTGTGCTTACAGTCAGAGTCAACTTTGGAGGAAGGTACTGACATTTTGTTTGTTGATCTTTGTTGAACTTGTTACATGTTATTGGTATTGTTATATTTTTAATCACCATGGGATTTATAATAATATCTAAGCTTTCCACCTCAGATTTCATACAGTAAGTGGTAAGGTGCTGTATTCATCAGTACCATCATCTCCCTATGATATCGCTGTGGTGGAGCTTCAGGAGCCCCTCGCAAACTCA